GAGGAAGGACGAAGTGCCATCTGGTGCATGCCGGGGACAGGTGGAGGACGCTGAAGCGGAACACGACGACCAGTGCAAGCAGCACAAACAGGCGACGCAGGACGAGACTCAGGCTCACGACGCTCCGCAAGACCTCCGGTAAGCCCAGTGTAAGGAGAAGGACCAGGCAGTGGGGAGGCTGGCTGTAACTGCGACTGCGACTGGTCAGGCGGTGGACACAGTAAGGGAGGAGTAGGACCAGTAGAAGGCGGGAGACCAAGAACCTGCTGAAGGAGTGGAACGAAGTATGGCCGCGGCTGCGCAGCGCCTCCAGAACCAGCAAAGACAGCACCAGAACCCCCAGCTCCAGGGACTCCAGCTCCAACTCCTGCAGCACCACCAGCTCCAACACCTCCAGCAGCTCTAGCTCCAGCAGCTCTAGCTCCAGCAGCACCTCCAGCAGTAACAGCTCCAGCGCCTCTAGCTCCAACTCCTGCAGCACCACCAGTCCCAGCAGCTCTAGTACCTCCAATACGAGCACCTCCGGGACCAGCGGCTCCAGTACCTCCAGCAGCTACAGCAGCAGCAGTACCTCCAGCTCCAGCAGCACCTCCAGCTCCAGCAGCTCCGGTACCTCCAGTACAAGTACCTCCGGGACCAGCGCCTCCAGCACCTCCAGCAGCTACAGCACCAGCAGTACCTCCAGCGCCAGCAGCACCTCTAGCGGTAGGCCCCCCGAGCAAACCACTCGCGCAGCTGCTGTGGAGAGAGGGGCTCCCGCCGTGATAAGACACCCGTAGGACCTCTAGAGGACAAAGTACCTCCAGGCTCAGCACGCTCAAGCTCAGCACCCCCAGGCTCCGCACGCTCAGGCTCAGCACCCCCAGGCTCCGCACCCTCAGACTCAGCAACCCAAGGCTCAGCACCCAGGCTCCGCACCCTCAGACTCAGCAACCCCAGGCTCAGCACCCCCAGGCTCCGCACGCTCAAGCTCAGCACCCCCAGGCCCCGCACCCGCAGGCTCAGCACCCCTAGCAGCACCAGAGTCAACAGCTACCTCGATAGGCTCGACAGGGTCTACCTGGGACACACCTGAGGGGGCAGGACCCTGAGGGGGGAGGGGGTCTACCGGAGGAGGACCTGGTGCTAGGAAGAGCGGTGGGGGGGGGGGGGAGAGGGGCAGTGCGGTAGGGGAAGAGACGGTAGTAAGGAACCGACTCGTCAAACGTGACGACTTGAGAGGACAGAACACGACGCGAGGTGGGGTGGTAAAACTGCCATCCAGGCGCGTCAGGGGGGAAGCCAAGGAAGACGCAGGGAACAGCACGGGAGGACAGCTTGTCCGCGGAAGAATCGCGGACAAAAGCTCGAGATCCCAAGACACAGAACGCAGACGCATCGCCAACCCTCCCCGTCCACCGTAGAGCAGGTGTGGTCTCCGGCATGGAGACACGGGGCTAGAGGTTGAGCTGATTCGCAGCGTACTGGACCGCGAACGGCCACAGAAAATGGGGAGCAGCCGCATGGATCATGGACGTACGAGCGACGTCCATGACCATGCCAATGCGGCGCTCAGCAATCCCATTTTGCTGTGGGGAGGCCGAAAGCGTGAACGTCTGGCGGATGCCCTCCGCACGTCAGAAGGCCCGCAGAAGGTCGGAGGAAAACTCTCCACCTCTGTCGGAGTGCAGATGCAGAACAGGAAGGTCTGAGCCAAAACTCTCGCTGAGCTGGTGACGAGCAGCGCGGATCCAGGTGATCAGCACCTCAGTGACCTCACCCTTGCGGCGCAAGGGGAAGACTGTGGTGTAACGCGAGTAGTCGTCAACGACCAGCAGAAAGTAACGCTCGTGACCCTGTCCACGGGCGCGGGCTGGGCCCCACACGTCCATGTGGAGAGTATGCAGGGGAGCCTCCGTCGGAGGGAACTCGGAGGAGTGAGGAGCGGCGCGCTGCCGTCCCTCGACGCAAGGAACGTAGGTAGGGGCAGGCCCCGGGGGGAGGGGAGGGAGAGACCGGGGGAGACCAGTGACAAGGACACGGGAGGCCATACCTTGGAGACGAGGCAGGGAGGGGTGACCAAGGGGGTGGTGCCAAAGGAGAGTCTGGTGTGACAGGAGACGACACGAGCAGGGGAGCAGTGGTTACCTGCTCGTCCCAGGTAGGGCTCCATTCAGTCAGGTGCTCCCCGCGCTCCGTGTACTGGTTCATGCTCGCCGCGCAGGGCCTCACGTCACACATCCTCCTCCAGACCAGACCTGGACGCGGCAGCAAACACCTGACCAGACGCGGCTACCTTACCAGACTCAGCAACGGGAGGAGACTCAGTAGTCGGTGTGTACAGGCTCGACCCAGGCCGATGGGTGAACGTGGCCAGGTGGCGGCCCGTCCGAGTACATGTGCAGTGGGTCACCCGCTGACCTCCAGGAGTGAACCCACACGTCCTGGAGGTCAGCTCCACTCACCAAGTTCGTAGAGAACGAGGGGAGGTGAAGACCCGATAGTGAGCCAGATGGGACCGCCGGACACGGCAGAACCGTAGAGGAGTGCGCAAGGAGTGGGCCCCCAGAGGGGCCCGCCAGGGAGACAGCAACCGGCCGACTGAGCGGCGTGAGTGTGGTGCTGTCGCGAAAGAAGGAGCGGGAAGCACCTGAGTCAAGCGTGAAGCTATGCAAGGCCTCAGCAGGCGCAGTACCTGAGAGAGCAGACTCACTAGTACCTAGAGCAGCAGACTCACTAGCACCTAGAGCAGCAGCCTCTATACCTGGGTCGGGCAGCACACACATGTAACAGTCACCCTCAGCACTAATAGTCACAGCATACATGGCAGCAAGGATAGCATCGTAATCAAGATCAAAGATAGCAACACCAGACTTAAGCAGATCAGCCCAGCGAGGGAGCTCAGTGGCGTCAGGAAACTGTGCGCGCCAGGCGTCAGACAGGCAACCGAAACAGCGCTGCGTTGTGTGTGGCAGCCCGCACGTCTCCCCACGGCGCTCGCTGGTGCGGAGAACGTAAGCGCAGGGACCAGCACCCCCAGACCTCCCACGCCCAGCGTACCACTCATGAAGTTGCTGGGGCGACGGGGCCTCACAGGAACGCGGCTGCTGCTGTCGCTGGCTACCGCCAAAGCCTCCACGCTGCGCGGCTCCACTCCGACCAGCACCACCACCGCCGCCACCCCCCCTGCCGCTGCCTCCACCACCTCCACCGCCGCCACCGACGCCCCCACTCCCGCCACCACCCCCACCTCCACCCCCACCCCCTCCGCCTCCTCCACCGCCACCACCGCCGCCCCCGCCGTCCCCTCCACCACCCTTGCCCCCCTTGCCCTTGCCGTTGCGGCGCCTCCCACTAGGAGCAGACGCAGCCTTGACCTCCTCGGTGCCAACAAGGTCGACAGCAGCAGCAGAAGCAACAGAGGGCAAAAGGGGTACGGGGGAACACCCCTCAAAGAAAGGGGCGCGAGGGTCGCCGCGAGAAGCTCCTACAGCGACTCTGCTAGTCTCAGCTGTAGTGAGGCGCTCCTCAAGCAGGTCAACGGTGAGCTCGGTGGGGCAAAGGGAGAGAAAGTGGTCCCTGACTGAGCGAAGAGAGTCAGGGAGACGGGTGACAAGGTAGAAGAGGGTGATGTACATGGGGGGGGGGGTTCTTGGCGCGAAACTCAGAGGGAAGCGCAGCGCTGTAGCGGGTGTCACTAGTGCAGAGGTGAGTGATGAGGTCAGCGACTATGGCAAAGGCGGCCAGGTCAGGGAACAAGTACGGCAGTATGAGGCGGCTGAGGGCAGCAGTGGCAGGGGAGGAGTAGCGCGCAACGACAGCGTCATACATAGACTTAGCAGTCTTGTACTGGCCAAAGTGCGCGCGCTCAGCAGACGGCAGGTGACTACGAACAGCAAGGCGAGCAACAGCGTCACGAGTAGTCCACTGCGAGCAAACCGTACTGTCAGCAGTGGCATCAGGTGCAACAGAGGCGCCGGACGTGTGATTGAAAAGCGAGACTCCGTCCCTAGAGTCGCACTGAAGATAGAGCTGCAGGTCATCTACCCAAACCTCGAAATCTACCGCACGACCCTCAGTATCGAAGGTAAGTTCAGTAGGGCTAGCCATGGAGGCAGTAGCAGCAGGAGGAGCAGTAGCAGCGCAGTAGGGCAGGGCGGCACGGTCCAGCAGAGCGGCACGGCTCGGCAGGGCGGCGCGGCTCGGCTGGCAGGCGGGCGCGGCGGCGCGTTTAGCAGGGCGGGCGCTTACCAGGGGCAGGGCAGGGCCGCAACGGGGCGGCTGTAGGGCAGGGTCGCGACGAGGCAGCGGCAGAGCGGGGCCGCAACGGGGCGGCAGCAGGGCAGGGCCGCGACAAGGCGGCTGCAGGGGAGGGCCGCGTCGGGGCAGCGGTAGAGCAGGGCCGCGACTAGGCGGCTGCAGGGCAGGGCTGCGACGGGGCGGCGGTAGAGCAGGGCCGCGACGAGTGGCTGAGGGCAGGGCCGCGTCGAGTGGCGGCAGGGCAGGGCTGCGACGGGCAGCGAGGTCAGGCCGTGACGGGCGGCTAGGTCAGGCCGCGATGGGCGGCGACAGGGCAGGGCCGCAACGGGCGGCTAGGTCAGGGCCGCGACGGGCCGTTAGGGCAGGGCCGCGACGGGCCGGGAGGGCAGGGCCGCTACGGGCGGCAGTAGGGCAGGGCGCGCGACGGCGCAGGTGAGGCAGGCGCGAGGCGCGCTTCGGGCAGGGCAGAAAAAACTATCGTGGTGGGCCTTAAGAAAAACGTTCCCACTAGGGAACCTGCTCTGAAACCATGTCAGAAAGTAGGAAAATGAATGACTAGAATGACAGCAGTACAGGGGTTGTATAGCAAAACCTAATTGGGCTGTACCCCATAAGGAGTGCCCCACTACAGCCTAGAGCATATAAATGCATAGTTCTGACAGGCTGCGGAATGAGAGGGGGAAGCACACAATGCACATATGGGCTGAGGAATGAGAGGGGGAAGCGTTTAGGAATGAGAGGGGGAAGCGTATAACACGTAGATGGGGCGTGGAATGAGAGGGGGAAGCGTGGAGGGCACATATGGGGCGCATATTGTGAGGGCGAAGCGCGCAGCGCACTCTTCTCTTGAAAACCCCCCGGTCTGTAAGGGCCTTTGCCCCCCACCCTCTCTTCAGTTTCCCCCCTGCACGCTTCTATTTCCCTTCCCCCCCCCCTCGCTCTCCTCAGTTTTCCCACTGCACTCTTCCGTTTCCCTTCCCCCCCCCCCCCCCCCCCGCTCTCCTCAGTTTCCCCACTGCACTCTTCCGTTTCCCTTACCCCCCCCCCACTCTCCTCAGTTTCCCCACTGCACTCTTCCGTTTTCCTTCCCCCCCCCGCCCTGCTCTCCTCAGTTTCCCCACTGCACTCTTCTGTTTCCCTCCCCTCCCCCCCCCCGCCCCGCTCTCCTCAGTTTCCCTACTGCACTCTTCTGTTTCCCTTCCCCCCCCCCCGCTCTCCTCAAATTCCCCACTGCACTCTTCCGTTTCCCTTCCCCCCCCCCCCCCCCCCCCGCTCTCCTCAGTTTCCCCACTGCACTCTTCCGTTTTCCTCCCCCCCCCCCCCGCTCTCCTCAGTTTCCCCACTGCACTCTTCCGTTTCCCTTTCCCCCCTCGCTCTCCTCAGTTTCCCCACTGCACTCTTCCGTTTTCCTTCCCCCCCCCCCCCGCTCTCCTCAGTTTCCCCACTGCACCCTTCTGCTTCCCTTCCCCCCCCCCCCGCTCTCCTCAGTTTCCTCACTGCACGCTTCCGTTTCCTTTCCTCCGGCTCTCTTCAGGTTCCCTAGCGCTCTCTTCATTTCCCCTGCCGCTTTCTTCAGTTTACACCCCGCTCTCTTCAATTTTAGTTTCCCCCCTGCTCTCGCCAGTTTCCCCCCCGCTCTGTTCAGATTCCCCCCCGCACTCTTCAGTTTCCCCCCTGCACTATTCAGATTATCCCCCCGCTCTCCTCAATTTCCCCCCTCTCTCTCCTCTTTCCCCTCTGCTCTCTTCATTTTCCCCCCCGCTCACTTCAGTCCCCCCCCCCCCGCTCTCTTCATTTCCCCCCCTCTCTCTTCATTTTCCCCCCCGCTCTCTCCTCTTTTCCCCCTAGCTCTGTTAAGTTTCAACCCCGTTCTCTTCAATTTTCCCCAGCTCTCTTCAGTTTGAGCCCAGCTCTCGTCGGTTCCCCCCCCCCCCCCCCCCTCTCTTCGGTTTTCCCCCCACACTATCCTCTCCCCCCCCCGCTTTCTTCAGTTCCCCCCCCGCTTTCTTCAGTTCCCCCCCCCGCTCTCTTCATTCTCCCCCCTGCTTTCTTCATCTTCCCCCTACTTTCTTCATCTTCCCCTTGCTCTCTTCAGTTTCCCCCGGGTCTCTTTAGTTTGAGCCCAGCTCTCGTCGGTTTCCCCCCCCCTCTCTTCGGTTTCCCCCCCACTCTATCCTCTTTCCCTCTGCTTTCTTCAGTTCCCCCCCCCGCTCTCTTCATTCTCCCCCCTGCTTTCTTCATCTTCCATCTGCTTTCTTGATCTTCCCCCTGCTTTCTTCAGTTTCCCCCTTGCTCTTTTCAGTCTCCTCCACCACGGTCTTCAGTTCCCCTACTGCTCCCAGCTCTCTCCTCTTTGGTGAGTGGGCCGCGGGATGCAAAGGGCATTGTATCGGGTGTTTGTGGGGCGCGGGATGCAAGGGGGAACCGCGTTCTGGGTGTGTGGGGCATGGGATACGAGGGGAAAACACGTTCTGGGTGTGTGGGGCGCGGGATACAAGGGGAAAACGCGGAATTGGTGGGGTGTGGGCTACGAGGGTTCCCCCCAGCTCTCTTCAATTTCCCCCCTCCTCCCTGCTCTTTTCAGTTCCCCCCCCCCTCCCCCCCCCCCCCTGCCCCCTTCAGTTTCTCCCCCGCTCTCTTCAGTTCCCCCCTGCTATCTTCAGCTCCCCCCCTGCCATCTTCAGCTCCACCCTGCTATCTTCAGCTCCACCCTGCTATCTTCAGCTCCACCCTGCCATCTTCAGCTCCACCTTGCCATGTTTTCCCCCAAACCATGTACGCATTGAATGAACGATGAAACCTGGACAGATGGCGGACCCAACGCCATCGGAGCTGTGCCGATTGTATGACCAGCGTCAGCATAGCAGGGGGGACTAACTGCTCTTTTACCAAGTACGGAAAAGGCTGCCTCGTTCAATGATCTTCTTGCGCTCTACATGTTGGCCGCACCCCATGTAACAAAGCGTTTGATACGAGCTGCACAAGATGCAGGTAAATTTAAGTGAGATGATCAATATTGTTCTGTCTGTTGTGGATTGCACCTCTTCGGGATAAACAAATCTCAATCTAATTGTCCCTTTTATCGTGCAGGACCCGGGGGAATAGACGCAGGCGAGGTTGTGAAATTGCATCTTGGCGCTATGTCGAGTGCCTTTTGGACACGGATGGGGGATGGTGCTATGACAGTGGAGAATTTACTAGCCCGTAGTGATAGCATGTTGAAAGAGGTGAAATTTGACTTTCCAAAGTGGGAAAAAAACAAAAAGGGGGGAATTCGGAGAGTTGTTGGGAACGGAAGGGGCGGTTCACATAATCAAGCGGCCTCAATCGTCCATCCAACTGAAGGTGCGCAGAAACTATTGACATGCATGATGAACATGTGGTTGATGTGATAGGCGGACCATGATACCAACATGTACGTGCATTCCCTGCTTTTGTGTGCAGGAGCGGAGGGGGATGACTCTTCCATGCTTTGCGGCAACAGACCACCACATTTGACTCAGTGCACCACGAGTGCTGTTGACAGTGAAGGAGCTGGTTGGGTGCGTCTTGATGCGGGATGCGGAACGGGCGATGGCGATACGCCTACACAGGGAGGTCCACCGTTGGATTCGAACAGGTATGGATAAGTATTGCTTGTGCAGAGTATCTCGTGTGAATATTCATAATTGTTTCACCATGATCGTGCCTCAATTCTCAACTGTTACAGACCAATTGCACAGCCAACACCTCGAAAGCATCCACGAGGGTGGAAACATCCACCAAACTGGGATGATTTTCCTGCTGACATGGTTTGCTTTCTTGATCCAAGGTCGATGGTGTCGTTTTTTGCGTGATCGGGCTTTGGCGTGTTGTGTGACTAATTGCAAAGGACGCCTTCAGTTAGAGTTGTGGAAGCGATCATGGGCATGTTTGGGGCTTTTGTGGAGGTGCAATGTTTGTTCAGCAAGTGAGGTGTTTTGGTCAAGTAGTCGTGTCAGGGAGGACTTGCCGCCTAGCAAGCATGGTCCCCGTAGCCCGCCTATGATGGCAAAGCTTATTGGTGCATTCGCGCTTGCAGGGTCAGGATATCAGCACATGTGGGAGGTGTGTTGCACACTTGGTGTCCTTAGGCCGGGTCATGGAACATTTTACAGGTGCTTGGATGGAGAAAATGGTCTATGGAGTGTGATCATTGAGCAGGCGAGGGTGAACATGGAGGGGGTGCGCGCGCGCATGGCATTGCGTCCTGTTCCTGCTCATATTTTATGCGTGGACGGGAGGTGGTCACAGGTGCGTGAGGCAAAGCATTGCACGGTTTCCTTCATGGATCCGATAACTCAGAAAGTCGCGTTCTACAAAAACACACAAAGAGACGTGGATGACGATGTGTCTGTCAAGCTCAAACGAGTGGGATTTGATCAGGGTATGGACGAGCTAAGAGAGATTGGGTTTGGTGTGGCTGGTATCGTCACAGATGGTGGTAGCAGTTTCAAGACTGCTGTTCGGGAGAGGGGACTGAGACATCAGGAGGATTGGTGGCATAAGTGTGGTACCCTGGTGCGTAGTTTTAAGACGGATGTTCAGGACGCAACAAGGAAGGCGGGTGAAGTCGATGCGGCAACTACGTGCGAGGATCTCTACCTAATCATAGTCGAGAAGCTGCTAAGGTGGTTGCGGGAGCACCCATGCCCGGGAACGACGTATGGACGGGGCAGTGGAAAGAAGGTGTTGGTGGAGGCAGTGTGTGATGCACGGGGTTTTGAGTTCAAGGATATGGAGCCTGCAGATGCTAAATGGTTGCACCTGGAACTGCAACAAGTGCTCCAGACAGTGATTGGGCAGCCGACAGCGCGAGCAAGCACAGAGGTGGTGGAAGAACCAGAACCGGAGGTTACAGTGGGACATGAGCCACGTGACGGGAATGCAGGACCGAATGGCAACGGTCTGAATGACGGAGTATCTGCGGTCGAAGTACAGTGGCCGGACGTGGATGAAATGTGGGGCTGGGATGCGCATCCGGATCATGGGATACGACCATCATCTCATGCATATCTGGTGCTCGTATAGGCATGGAGTGGGATGGAGCATAACACTGCTTCACTGTACGACGACACTGTTGGGCAAGGTAATAAAAGTGGTAGAGTGTCCAAATTTGGTTTGGTTTGAAATAACTAGAGGGGAGTTTACCCCGCTATAAAGCCCTTCACCAACCCCCTACCACTCCCCCCACCCCCACACCACCCACTTACATCCCCCCACCACCCCCCCACCCTCACCCACCCCCATTCCCCCAACCCCAACCCACCCTACCATCCCCCAACCCCGGTCAACATACCTCTCTCCCCAGGTGATACCTCACGTCTCATGCATATCTGTCTACAAGTCTTGGATCGACCTACCTAATATTGAGTTTTGATATCTCGTGTAATTTTGGTAATTTCTTGTGCAGACGAACAAGAGAATGAGCGGTCTGCTTCAGCTTCTCGGGGCGCGGCCGGGATTGCAACCGAGAGTGGCATGGAGAATGATGTAGCAGAACCGAGGCCAAGGAGATGGGGACGACGAGCGCCACGCAGACGGGCTCGGCAAGGGGATGGTGGAGGGGCTGCCGGCAAGAGTGAGACCACGGCGAGGGTGAAAGCGGTTACTGTTGCGGATCGGCTTGCAGTGCACTTCTATCACTGCATGATTCGGAACGGGGTGTGCGCTCGGGACGGGCACACTCGGTCACTCGAGGAGGTGTCGGAGGAGTTGTGTCTAACTCCAGACCATTGGGCCGGTCTTCATTCGCGATGCTGGAGGACCGGAATGCGTGCACCAAGATGTGTGACAGAAAATTGGGGTGAAGAGAGTGCGGTGTACCAGCCCAATTCAAAGACCCATGTCGCTGTGAGAGAGTGGCTTCAAAAACACTTCAATCCAGAGAAAGTTGCGTGCATTGTGGAGGGCGCAACCAGCTCAATGAACGAATCGTTCCACTCGCTCATCCTGAAATATGCCGCTAAATGCATACGGTTCAAAGGAAGTTACAAGGCGCACATAGCCATGTCTGCGCTGCATTGGAAAAACACCATGGATCGCGTGGTACGGGCATATATCACTCGTGTGAGGCTTACGACACGAGTGAAACGTGGTCGGAGGGATAGAATACTTGGTCCAATGGATTGGACTTGGGTGGATGATATCTTGAAGGGGTGGCAGCGACCGTTTATTGATTTTACGGAGCCCGTTGGATTGTCCCCTGACGTGAGTGAGACGGTGGCCCCTCGGGTGGGGCTTGTTTCACCACGAGGCACTTCGTCTACCGACCCCGATACATCACCCGGATTCTCCCATGGCTCTGGAGTTGGTTAGTCGCGAAATCCAATCACGCCTCAGCCCTCACACTGTACGACACATCACGCGAGGCGTGGGGCACGTCGCAGTTTACTCAGTACGTATGCTTAAATTGGCATAATGATCACGAGTTGTCTAGTTTTATGTTGAAGTCTTGCAAGTTCACGGTTAGTTGGTGATTGCACGCATATGCATACTTATGCATCTATTCATCTTGTTGTCGGT